GTCTCCAGTCCATCGCAGGGACACACCAAATTTAAAAATCATTTTTCAAACAACAAAAAAATCAACAACAAACAAAACTGGTTGAAACTTTTTTTATGTTTGCAAAGGTCAGATGGCTATAATCAGGTATGAATAAATCAGATACCAAACCGTGCCGCTAACAGTACCATGGTGCTAACTGGACCATGTTGCTAAGATAACCTCACTGTCATCAGAACCACTCTGCCAATAGGACCATGCTGCTGTAGATTTATTTTATTTTTTTTTCACTTTTGGCGCCTTGTTTCTGTATTTTTGTTGCATGCTTTGAATAAATCCTAGTTTATGTTAGTTTAGTTTACGTTAATGCTAAATGGACTGTAAATGGACTGTACTTATAGCGCCTTTCTATCTTATTTCAAGATATTCAAAGCACTTTACACTACAATCTGTGTCCTCATTTACCCATTCATACAACACTCTACTAGATCAAGCTACAAAGCTAATTGAACAAATCATTCTAAAGAGACTAATCAGAGCTTTATCACATTCAAACTCCGATGGGACACACATCGGAGGCTATGAGGAGTTCAGTGTCTTGCCCAGGGACACTTCGGCATGTGACTGCTGGTGGATTCGAACCCCCAACTCTCGCATTGGAGGACGACTGCTCTAACCACTCAGCCACAGCCGCCCCCATTCTCACATTAAAGCGTGTAAATTACAGCCGAAAAGAACCTATGAGAATCGTGCTGCTGTTGTTCCGTGTATTCATATCTTAGATCTTTTAGCGTACCGTTTGGTGTTCGTTTAGCGTATATCTTAATTTAAATCTCAGATCCTTGTTTACTGTTTCTTTTTACACTTTATATTTTTGCTATTGTTGGATGTAACTGGGACCATGTGTACACAGTTTTGTTCCACTACATGTACCACATGTGATGCGAATGACAAATAAAGAAACCCTATTGATGCTCCACCTATAAAAAAGTATGTTTGCAAAGGATAAAGACTTATTTCACTGCTTTCTGGCTTGTTTTCCCCACACTGTTACTGTTATCTGGAAATTCTCTCTCCACTTTTCTCTGCACCCCCCCCCCCCACACACACACACACACACACACACAGGTTTGTTTTGCTATCTTTGTGGGGCCTTTGCATTGACTTCCATTCATTTTTCATTCATTTCTATAGCCTAACCATGACCTTTATCCATAACCTAACCATTACCAGTACATACCTAACCCTAAACCTAACACATCCTCAATTCACACCTTAGTCCTAAACCTAGCCCCTAACCCACCAACGGGACTTCTTATTATGGGGCCCGGGCTTTGGGCCCCATAAGGAGCAGTTGGTCCTCACAATGTAGTATAAGTTGGAAAAATGGGCCTCACAAATTAGCATAAACAAGGACACACACACACACACCACACACATATACACACACAGGGGTTGCCTTGGAGGGAGAAAAAGTGACAACAGCTTACAGTCAGACTTCCTGCATCCACTAAAGCATCATTTTGCTCTCAAGGTTAAAAATCAAAGTAATTCGTAAATAAAGGTTGCCTTTCAACATATTAGTCAGTTTTCTTTGTCTTTCTGTGCACCTTAAATGTTTGCATATTTGTCTGCATTGTGAAGGACTAACAGGTTCCTGTTAATGTCACTATGTACAGTTTGTCAGTTATCAGGAATCTGCTTTTTTTTGTGTCGATTGGCTAAAACGTTATTAGAGTGGCGCTTGGTAGAATATTGGTTCACACTTTCACATCACAGCAGGTTTCATGTTGATTGATGGATTAATTGGTGGTTTTAAACTGACTTCAGTCATGAGTGTGAATAATTACTCAAAAAGGGATATAATGCTCATTATTTGGGCATGACTAATTATTTAATTGGTAGACCACACATGAATTAATCCATTAAACATGTATTTTGTTCAAACACATCCTCCGAGCACTAACTGATCATGTGAGATCTGTTTTTTTTTTACTGTGCCATTATCTCCTGGTCAAATGTGTCACGCTGTTAGCAAAATATCTCATAACATTGACAGAATTTAGGTAAACTCATAACATAATACATGTTTCATTCATGTATAGTCAACTCTGTACAAAGAACTGACCTTAGTCTACACAAAGATGGCTATAACTCAGTCAAGGCCTTTACATTTTTAAATGTGTATATTTTCTATACATAAATAGTAATTTTCAGTAGTTTGTTTTTAGTTTTTGCTCTGTTCTCATGTATATTAACATAGAAGACAAGCTGGATTTTGTTTTTTCATTATTTGTCAGCCAGAATCAACTAAATTAAAATAAATACAGGGTTAAAATATTTCACGCTATATGTAATGAATCTATGCAATATATTGTATGAGTTTCACTTTCTGAAATGACTGACAAGAAATATTGAACTTTTTCATAATATTTTCATATTTTTAAGACGAACCCATATATGGGTCATATCAGCTATCATAAATTTTGATGTGGCTAAAGGAAGCATTCATATGCCTAGATGTAACCACTACCCAAAATGGAAGTTGGTGCCTAACTTGTTTTTCAAGTTGTCATGCTCGTAACATGAACAGACATTTATGGTGGCAGCCATCTTGGATTTTGACCTATACCCAATTTTTGAAAGGAACCTTCTTTACAGCAAGATGCACACCAGACACAACCGAATGTCCGTCTGTCCATCCATCCATTCATCCATCCTGAGCAATTCTACACTCCACCCCCTTACACTCTCACAGGAACAATTTAGAGTTACCAATCATCCGAACATGCATGTTTTTGGTCTGTGGCAGGAAACTGGAGTACACAGAGAAAACTCACACATGCATGGAGGGAACATGCAAACTCCACCCAGAAAGGCCCTCGGCCGGAATTTGATCCGGCGACCTTCTCACCACAAAGCGCGCAGCTCTACCAACTGCACCATGGTGTCACCCAAAATGGAAGTCGTAGCAGATTTATTTTTAAAGTTATGCTCACAACATGCATGAACAGACAGACAGAAAGAGGGTATAATCCCCCCTTTAAAATCTAAACATTTTAAATACTAAACAAATATATATTCTATAGTTACTCTTGGTAGAGTAGCTCATGGTGCCACTCAGTTACCATGACAATAAAGAAGGAATGTGGATATACAGGATGTGGAATATGATGCACATGCGTGCACCGCACAAAGACTCGACAGGTTTGTGTGTGAGATGGGGGCATTTTAACTCATTTTCAAATTAAATGCTTTATTTTTTTTTATGCCAGAGTAAAGAAAAAAAGAAGAAAAAAAAAAACAATTACATGTGTATAAAAAAAAAAAAAGATTTGAAACAAGTGGTTTTGTATAAATGACTCATTTTGCCCACCTGGAGTCCCCCTCATGATTTAACACTTGTATTTTTCACTTTGAAATATTGCATTGAAGGCGAACAATAAAGTTTAATAAAGCCCTTTAATGTCATCAGTTTGAGAGTAAATAATCTGTTATTGTTTGTTAATTTTTTGTGTTAATGTTGATCCAGACATGTTGCTCTATTTTTTCTTATGCTATTGTTAGCCTTTGGAAACCATTGTGTAAATATTAGCTTTAGCTAGCCTTTTGCTAGCTTTAGCTTTTTGTTAGCATTTTGATACTTGGATCTTAGACAGGGCAGCATGGTGGCGCAACTCTCAGTGAGCAGGTCCCTGGTTCAAATCCCGGTCCGGGGGCCTTTCTGGGGGGAGTTTGCATGTTCTCTCCGTGGATGCGTGGGTTTTCTACTCCAGTTTCCTCACAGACCAAAAACATGCATGTTAGACTGATGGATAACTCTAAATTGTCTCTAGGTGTGAGTGAGAGAGTGAATGGTTGTTTGTCTCGTTTGTCTCTATGTGTCCCTGTGATGGACTTGTGACCTGTCCAGGGTGTACCCCGCCCCTCGCACAGTGATTGCTGGACATGGGCACCAGCGACCCCCGTGACCCAAATGGAAGAAGCAGGTCAAAGATAATGGATGGATTGATGGATGGATTTTAGACAGCTTTTTGCTACTTTTAGCTAGCCTTTTGACAGTTTTAGCCAATCAGTTGCTAGTTTTAGCTTTTAGCTGGTGTTTTTCTACTTTTGGCTTTTTAGCATTAATTTATTTTAACTTTTAGCTAGTTTTCAGATTTTTATTTTTAACAGCCAAGTTTCACCTTCTTCGGCAAATTTAGCGGTCATTCAGCACTCAGCCTTCACAGCATGTTTGCAGAAAATGCAACTTTTCTAGTCTGAATATTTAAGTCTGAGCTGTTAAAAGTCTATGAAGGACTTTTTCATTATTTAGTTCCAACAAACAGCACAAGTTCTCGGTCTCGTGCATGACTGCTGTAGCGCAATGAGCGATACTTTAGCTGTGAAACCACAACCTTCTGAGCTCACACTGCCTCAACCTCCCACTTCTCCTCTCCATTTATACCGGGCTAAAAAAAACACTAGCCAACTAATTATTAACTCTAAACACTGTTCTGGTGTCCTGTAATTCTACACTCCACCCCCCTTACACACACAAATACACACACATATACAAATACACACAAATAACTGATGTTGAACTAATGGGTGGAGATGACTGAAGTTTCTCAGTGACCTGTGAGACGACACGGCTGAAAAACAGCTTCAGGTAAAGTTGCAAAAATTCAACGAGCAATCAAAAAATAATAAAACATAAATTATTTCTATTACTGTAACATAATACATAAAGCTTATGTTTAAAGAATGGACCACATAGTTAAGCCTTCGAATAAAAACCTTTTATTTTAGACATATTTCAGAAATAAACTGCAGGGTGAGCTGCAGAACAGTGTGTGGAATATAGTTTAACTTTTTAAACATGTAATTTTATTCATTCCTATCTGACACTGGGCAGACCTGTTGAATAAAAGCTTTAAAAAAGGAAACTGGTTATTATGGGAAATGTGACTTTTCATAAATACCAACTGCTTTAGTCATTTCTTGGTGTTTTTTTTTTAAAAACAAATATCTAAACTTTTCACAAACCGATGAAAGGAAAATGTGAAAATGTTATAAATTTGAACAGATTTCAAGTTTTATGGACATTTTCTTTTCACCAACCTCTTCTTGTAAACACCCTCTAAAAACTTAATGGTGCATTAAAGAATGAACCAAATCCTGGTGTCCCTTTTTTACATTAGACTAAGTGGATACAAATAAAAGTGTCTTATCTAATGTCACAGTGAGGTGAAGCTTTCCTCACTGTGTAGCACTGAGGAGATCAAATGTCAACTCTTGGACATCAAAACCAAGATGTGAATGAGTGGAATCCAAAAAGATCTCCGCGCCTCCTGATTGGCTGGCGGTGTGTTGGTATGTTTTGAGATCCTCCAGGGCAGCATAGATGACTCTGGCCCGCTCTTCCTCAGAGGGCGGGTCCGCCCAGCGATAACAGGGCAGCGAAGGTGAGTGAAGCAGGAAATACACAGACATGTAGACTTTACTAAACTCCTGCTTCAGATACGTCAAGTCTCTCTGCAAAAACACACGTAATAAAAACAGTTAACACTCAAATGTGGTGAGCATGATGCAAGAACTTCCAAAGTTTCATTCCTTACAGAGAAAATCCAGTTTCTCTCTCATTCTAACAGCGTCCCCTGCAGGTCTGAGCTGCTATTACACACCAAGTGTTGTTTTGAACCATACAGATGCCCTAATGTTAACTTCAAGTTGGCTTTTAAACAAATGAAAATAAAGCGCATATATTTTTGCCATATATTAACCAAGCGTCCTATAGAAATATGATATTTTAAATTAAATATCTGTACATTATAAGGGAAGCGTACAAACCTTCTGTGCTCTGCTCATGTTAGCGTCTGCCTCCAGCCATGCACTCTGGAAAAAAACAACAACTTTGAGAAACTAAATAAATAAAGTTAGTGTGTAAATTCACCGTTACTACAGTATGTCTGCTTCACAACCTGCCTTTACAAAAACGTATCAATTAAAGGCCTGGCATTCTTTAAGGGAACGCAACTTGCGATTTCTCGTGAAACTTATTTGCGCTATGTGTTGAAGATAACTATCAGCTACTACCACAGCTAAACTTAGCTCAATAGCCAGTCGTCATCACCATTTTTGTGTAGGCTGAGATTGATTAGTCATGTCTTGAATTGGATTGACTCCAAAAGTTATCAGCTGTAGATGTACAGCCAATAATTACTGAGCGTTTTATTAGAATCTGTCCACTGGTTCATGAGATGTTTTGCTAACAGACAGAGTTGACTCATAGTTAATGCCAAAGTTTAAAGCAAACATCGTGCATAATGTGTAGTTTTAGTAATAGCACATAATGTATGTACTGCAGATTAATTCTAACTCAACGTCTGTAAAACTGACATCATAAGTAATAAATAAAGCCAACATAACTCCATTTGTTTAACAGTTTTGGAGAAGCATCACTTCAAACCCTCTCACCCTGAGAGCATCCAGCAGGTCTGTGTGGTCCACCAGCACAGGAAACGTTGAGAGTATCGGGCTGCTTATAGGATCTATGTAGAAATATGTAAAAGCAGTTTAATGAGAGCGGTGTAAAAACTACAACGCGTGCGGTTTGATGCGTTACCTGCATTCTGCATGGTGGGCCTGTCGATCAGCAGGGTGTCAGCCAGCAGCTGTCGGTGCAGAACCAGCATGTGGACACAGTTCACACAGTACAGCAGAGTGTCTGGAAGGAGACTGAAGACAGTAGTTTATGTGTTACTCATCTACACTGGCAACGGGTCTTTGTAAAGTCCACAGTTTGTTAGGTTTGAGATTTATCCCAAAATGATCAAAGACATGCAAAATGTCCTGAAGATCAAGCAGAACTGAACTTGTGTGACGTGATGCTAATGCTCTACAAATAAATGAGCAGCACAACAGCTTCGTGGTTAGCACTGATGCCTCAGAGCAGGAAGGTCCAGGGTTCAATCCCCCGTAGAAACAGCTGATTTATGGATATTTTAGAGCCCTTGTTGAAAGTTGCAGAAAGCAATCAATGGATGAGCATCGTGAACATTTTCTGCTTAAAGCTTTAACTGCTACAAATAACTATGTAAGTAAAATATATCATGAACCACTGGATGGACTTTAAAGTAAACAATGACTGAACATCTGTAATTATTATTATTATTTTAACCAATCCAATTCAAGATGGCTGCAACAGTTAATGCAAAAATGGCTCCAACTCCGTCCGTTTTACAGATGCTGGCCTAAAGGTCGATATGGAGAGTCATCCACAACTCGTACTCTAAATGTGGTGTCTCACATTAATTTATGTGATTGCTCATAACATGTTTTCAAGGTTTCAGTAGAGCAGCTACAACTTTTATCTTTTCTCATCGTATGACGTCAGTCTAAACCTCTGGCATGGAAAATGTGCCAAACCGTGCAGTTTTTCCAGATAACCTGCATCCTGACATTAACAGACATGGTGCTTGATACAGTGTGTTGACTGTTAAAGAGAATGTTCTTTCACCAGAAGAGGGTGGAATAAACTGAATCTGTTTTAAGATGAGTCTAAGACAACGTTTGAAAATGAAGAACATGTCAAAGATTGTGGGATCAGGAAATATTGTGCGTGCTTCAGCGTTAAACATGAGCACCACCTTGAATGACTTTGAGAAGAGCCAGGAATGTGTCTAAAGCTCGGAATGATTTATCGATCACATAATCTGTTGCATGTGTTCCAGCTCTGTGGGCGGCTTTTCAGCCAGTCCTCTCCTACCTGAGCTGCGAACGGGTTCGGCTGTTAGTTGATTTCAGCTTCACGTTCAGTTTGGGTTGCCGCTTGCCCTGAAGCATCTGTTGGAAAACAGCTGAAGAAAAGGAAAAGGCACAGCCAATAATGATTTAAAAACCTTTTTAACTAATCTTTTAAAATGTACAATCCTTACGCGAGCTTTCATTAAATTAGTTTTCCCCCCCTCACATTTTCTACCAGCTGATGCCTCCACAAAGACGTCCTTCTCATAAGGAGTGCCACCGTTCACCTGCAGCTCGTATGTCCTGTGCACATCAGATTTGGTTTATTTTCATTTTTTATTTCTCCTTACTCACAAATACATCTTGACGTGACTAATTTTGTGGATGTACTTGTTTGGGATTGGATTTCCAGTGTCATCAGTCAGTTTCAGGAAGGCCCAGCCACAACTCAGCTCTCCCCTCTCGCCTGTGGACTAAAACAAAATGCACACATTAGACTTATGAGCTATTGAAACGCTTTCTCTCACTTGTTATTATCCACTTCTGCAGAGAAGGATTTGTCGTCCTTTTGCATCTACTCAGCATCACCTACGTATTCTTACGTTTCGTAAAAAGGTGACTCCAAGCTCAAAAAGAATTCCAAGGTTAGGAGACGAAGAATCACAGCGTAGGAAACAATCACCATCAAGGAGGGTGGGCAGGACGCCAGTCACCTGAAGAAAACACACACACGCACTACTGAAGCATTGTTTTTCAGTGTTTATAACGGTGCAGCTAGACTCATCATACCATTGGTGAGAAGGTCCACGTCTTCGGGTTTTTTGGGTTATAAGATGCTCTCACTGTGTGAATGTTACTCAGCGCCTGTAAAACAAATCAGCAGCTCTTGTAAATAAATATACGAGTAAAGACAGACATGTTGATATGTGACAGAGACAGTCCTAACACCTGAGCTCCGTCAAAGGCACAGAGACGGATGTGTCTGCTTAGGACTTGAACTCCAACTCCAGGAGTGGGAATCATCCTGCAGCTCCACAAAGTGAAGCAAACACAAGTCCTGACCTGACGGGACCGGACCTACGTAACAAGAGACTAACAAGTTAACGGACTGAACTGTGTTTATTCCAGAAGGTGTGTTTATAATGTCATGCACTGTAAGGATGAAAATCCAGATTAGGCTGTAAAAGTAACACACACAAACATGCAAGTACAAGGATCCACTCACCCTGCCAGAGTCTGGGACCAATAAGAGGTCTTTGAAGGAGAGCTGTGATTGGCTGAGGTCAGGTTTAATATAGTGACTTGCTCTGAATTTAACATCTATAACGAAACAAAAAGTATGACAGTTCGGACATTTAGTCACACAGAACACCAAATGTATTCACGATTAAACTGTCACCTCCAAGTACTTACAAAACTACTGATCTTTGATTTATTTTTGTACTGATCAACAATTCTCTAAGGAAGTTAAGCGTGAAACATCCAGTTGTCATGATCGATGTGAGCTGTCCCTTGAGACAGATAATCCTTTCTTGAGGGGGATATTTGTTAAAACCAAAAAAACGTATACAGTATTTGTTTTGTACTATAAGGTGCATTAAGCGAAACAAAACAGACAGATACGCAAGTCAAACTTTATTCAACTCGTTCACAATAACTCTTAACATTGTTCAGTTGTGCCACATAAAATCGGTTCGAGGTCAGTAAGCACAACCAGAATGAATACATAAGGCGCACCTGATTATATTATAAGGCTCACTTAGGCTGGGCCATATCATATCGTTCACGATAATACCAGTAAAAAAAAAAGCTTGCCCGGGAAAATAAACGAGATCATGATATGCTAATTTCATGACGTAAATACGTCAGTGTTTCCACTACCATTACATAAGCGGGGCGCAGCTCAGCTGTCTCCCCCCACCCCCAAGCTTCAGGGTCAGCTGATCACCTTGTCACAAGTTGCACCTCATTTAAAGGCAACATATGTTTTGTTGTATGTTACATTTATGCTCAACAGATATTAAGCTTCATTTTGTTCAGTTATTTTGGGAAACTTCACCTACACTTTAGTTTTTGTGGTGGATTTTGTTGATCAGTCTTTTGTGCAGACTTTTTCAATCTAAATAACAGAAGGATCATTTTTATTTTTATACTTGGAGACTGAATACTTTACTAAATAAAGTAATTTCAGTCAAATTAACCATTGTGGTTTTTTTTTTTAATATAATACTGCAAAGCAACATGTTAAGTTAATTTTGTCAAATGAATAACTATGATTTCAGTTTATTTTTTTCTTGGTTATATCACAAAATGTATCGTTATCGTCAGAATGTTCTGAAATGTTCTCAGTTGATTTTTGAAAAAATTAAACGATTGTAAGTTCGCCTTATAGTCCAAAAAAAATACATTATATCTAGACCTCCAACTGGCTAGCTGTAATTAGTTATTTGATGCGTAAAAGAATGGTCATGTAACAATGTGATTGTGTGCAGAGGAATTGATGGGACTTAAATTCACACTTCCTTGTTGGCAAGATTCAGGTCCTGAAAATACAACATGGCTGCTCCCGTAAACACTTGGTCTGTAATATATACCGACTATAATGAAAATGACCAAATGAGCATGAAATAAACTGATAAACTTCCTTTGAATGTAATCCACAATTTTGTAGCAACTTTTTAGAGAACGCGATGAAACAACACACTAAATTATTTGTTGGAGTCTTACTGTTATTCAAGCTGTAACAGTGTGAGACTCCAGCCTTTCTCATCACGAGCTAGTAAGTTAGGAATCTACTGAAATGTTGTTGAATTTGTGTGTAAACTTGGGTGTTCCTGTTTGTTAGGAACAAAAGCACAAACACACACGCCTGCTGCATATTGACCTTCCTCCAGCAGTTTACTGAGAGTTGATGGTCTGAATCCAGAAGGTATAGCTCCCATCGCTGACAACACATCTGTTGTGTCAATCTGTCACACACACACACACACACACACACACACGTGCACAGAGAATTTTATTTTATGAACATTTTAAAACATTTTTGAGATAAATTACCAGTAGGATCAGTTATAGTAGTTTTAAGTGTAAAATAAGCATCTTACCTGAGTCAGAGCCTTTCTGACAGTGGACCAATTAAAAACTCTGTTGTGGGAAAAAAGGAAAAAATAACATACAAATAAAACATGATATTTGTGTTTTTACTTATTTTTCATCATCAGTAGATAATAAAAAGCGTTAAAAACATATTTTAACCTCCACTTTTCTGTAAATAGGAGACAAATTCAGGATCATTCGGATGCTTCAACATGAAACTGAAAACTCAAAATTGCACACCTGTCTTTGTCTGGATCATCAGTAAGCTTCTCCTCAACTTCATCTTCTTCTTCCTCCTCATCTGACTCCTCGCTTTCATCATCATCATCATCCTCTGTGACCTCTTCGTCCTCATCATCAACCCCAGAGCCGATCTAACACAAAGACAACAACAATGTAATGAGATGTCACAGAAACTAGAGGAGTTGAATTGTTAGCAAATGTGAGTTTTGTCTAAAAGAAAACGTTAAGAAAATATTTATTTCATCGTTACCACACATGAGGTTGTATTTTAATGTCATCAGTAATGTTTTATGATAAGATCTGTTGAGTCCCTGTATTAAAATAAGGTGAACGTGTTGCTTGATTGAGAACCAGTCTGTACCTTTAAGAAAGTTTTTGGAACTACTCCTCTGTTGCCTTTGGTGTCCTGAGCCAACCACCATCCATCTGATGCCTTCTTGATGATCCTCAACACCTCTCCCCTCTAGAACAGCAACAACAACAAAAGAATGAATAAAAAAAACACGAGCCTCACATATAGTAATAAATTAGCACCAAACAGACTTTAAGCATCATGTTACACAGAGGAAATTAAAAAATTCGGAAAGATGTACTTATGTAATTACTAATACAATATTTCACATTTAGTCTCAGTTTAGTTAGAAAACATTTATACAGGAAGACATAAAGACAAGTAGTATTAAAATAGATGATATATATATTTGATTTATGGTAGAAAACAAAAAAAGCTTATGTAGCTGACAAATCTCTGAACAATTCTCCAGCTTTTTTTCCTTCCAAGACTATTAAAGTACCACTTCCAGTTAAAAACTGTGATCGGTGGACTTAAGGTCTTTGTTTTACCTCATTAATATGTTTCATTAGTATTAAAAAGTAAAAAAAAACAAAAATAACATAAAAAAAAAGAAAAGGAAGAACTAAACTCTGAACCTGCTCGAAAATTTTAATAAATACCTCAAAAAGAACTGTCGAATTTTAAAGAGTTGTTCATAAGCTTCAAAAACAACCCTTACTGCCACCACCATTTGTATTCAGCACGTCTAGAGTCCTCTGAATGACGCTGCAAAGTCTGACTGAGCTCCGTCAGTGCTGGTGAAACAGGAAGTACTTCACCTGAATAGAAAGATCTCCTTCTTGTTCTCCTTTGAAATTGCTGAGGACCACATAGAGCTGTGAATGACATGGCAGTTGTACAGCTCTGTCCTCATCTTCATCATCTGTGTCATCATCGTTACTGTCTTTGTTACTGTCTCCATCAACATCATCTTCACTGTCATCTTTTGAAACTATGCTGTGGATGAAACAGTAAAAGGAGAAAGTATTTAACACATAGGATAGGGACAACAGGGTATTTTGTTTCCACTTAAATTTTCAAAATTAGCTTGAAAATGCCAGAAACACTAAAACTAATTTGCCATAACGAGTGAAATTAAAGACACGGGGAAATGTTACTTGTGAAAAATTATTTTAAAAAGGAAACTTTATACATCATAAACGTCTACATGTCTACAATACTGTGTTTCCTATGAATACAGGTACTGACTGTGCTGCAGTGCTGGGGCCTGGTGGTGAAAGCTCCAGAGAGAGCGTGTTCAGACGCTCCAGGATGTTTTTCAGTCGCCTCTCTTCTTGCTGTTTCTTCTGATCGTATCTCATCCTATCCTGCACTGGAGCCAACTCAACCTAGAAGAAAAAGGAGCAGATCACAATGCAATGTCAACTTATCTAAACGGATCAATACCATTATTAAAGGCTGGTGCATGTTACAGAGCTAGCTGATGCTGGATTGCCAAGAAATTTCTGAAAACTTAATTCAATGTATTCTTTACTAATTGGTTTGATAACAAAGTCTTGTTTTGCTCTGCTACAAATGAAACTACTGTCAAACCAACATGTCCGTTCAGAAGTAAGATACTGATTTCAGGGTATACAGTAGATCATGTCTGTTCTCTTAACAAACAAACTGGAAACTGCACAAGCTATTGCGAAGACTGTTGTCAGTTTTCATTAAATGGAATTAAACGTAATAATTATCTACACGATCTCGGATATCTTTTTATTGATATAGAAAACGAACCTTTCCTAACTTCTGTAGTGTCTTTAGAGTCTTCTCTGCTGATATCTGCAGTTCCTGGCATCTGTTGAGAAATGGTATTTAGTAAAACGTGAAACTGTAGGACATGTTTAAAACAACTAAAAGATGTGATGAAGGATATCAGGAATGAAATGAAATTATAGTACAAGTCTAAATGAAAAAAAGGAGATGATTTTAGGAAACACTGCTGTTCCTTCGTTAAAGCTGCTTACTTTTGAAAATGCTGTTCATCGGATCCATATTTATTGTTTACATCCTTCATCAGTCTGTCAACCTGTTTCAAATGTAAAATCAGAGAATAGGAGCTGAGGGTGGACAGAACAACATATACTGTATAAAGGTACAATGTAATACTGCTTCATAGTCTATGAACCATGTTGACTATATTCATCCATGGCTTTAACCTTAATCTTAATTATTTAAATACTGGGTAAGCCTAACATAAGAAGTCTATTCTTTAAGAGATTTTCTAGAAATACCAACCTTTAGTTCTCATCTTTTAGCGTTACGGTGTGAGTTGGTTTTACTGTTTTAACGTTTTTACTAACTCAAAATTCCTCTGTCTGAACAATGTTTATATTATCTAAGTGAAAAAAAAAACTGTCCTTTTAGACAATTTATTTTGTGCTAAACCTGCTTCATTGACTGAAGGATTTGCATTCGCGGTTTTTCATTTAAATAAATTTACAAACTCTGAGAAGATTATTTAACAAACCTGTCCTTCGGCTACGTCCACTTCCCTTTGGACAAGTTGTAACCTTTTAAGTGCCATTGTTTTTGCGCGGTAAAATCCTTGAATTTGCCCAACAGCTAGCTTGCTAACGGACGCTACACGTCCAGTGGTTGCTAGGCAACCGACTTCTTCTACGGAAGTAGTCAATTCTTGATCTTGTTTTTCTGTTTTATCATTTATTAAACATTTTATATTTCTATCAAATACGTATGTTTTGCAAGTTTACAATTACAACACGTATCGACAAAATATGAGCCGATATATTTTCACTAATTTTGTAATGAACGTTTTTTGAATACTTAGTATGTCTTTTTGTTGTCGCCACCTATTGGTCTGGATTGTTTGTTGCAGTCTAATCAATAAATAGATAACCATGAAAATTACTCTAATGGACAAAAGACTGACAAACAATTAAAATAATTTTACTTCTACTACTACTACTAACAACAAGAACAGCAACAATTATCATTATTATTTCGTTTTATTATACATAAAAATACAATAATTTATTGATTTTTTTCCCATTCTTTTTATCTCACTCTCAACAAGAGTATCATTGCTGCAGCCATCCACCATAAACTTTGCACTTTTTATTATATAAAAGAGTATGTATACTGCTTTTTTGAAACAGTCATATGTTGGCTCCAGAAAGTCCATATATTATAGTCCATATATTATGCTGATATTATTATTATGCTGATATTATTATTACTGTGATATTATTTACATGAATGCTCCTACAAGAACCCTGCAGATGTTGGATGCTGTCTATCACGGTGCACTAAGATTCATAACTGGCTGTAACTCGTACCCACCATTGCGCCTTGTATTCACTGGTTAACTGGACATCATTAACTTCACACAGACTCTCCCACTGGTACATTTTCATCTTTAAATCACTTCTTGGTCTGCTGCCTTCATACATCTCCTTCATGTCTCTGCATGAGTGCAGATACAGCGTGCGCTCTCAGGACATTATTACCTGCAGTGTCCCCTCAGTGCGGACTGAACTAGGCAAAAGGGCCTTCTCATACTCTGCTCCTGTTTCCTGGAATATCTTACAAAAAGATTTGAAGCTCTCGACCTTGACCTCTCTAAGTGGCTTTAAGAATCTGTTAGACTCCTGGCAGGGACCAATGCAGACATGTTCCTGTTTTTAGTTTTCTACATTCGCCTTAGAATAGCTGTTTTTTTGTTACTTTTCTTTTTTTAGCCATCCTATTTGTTAAAAAAAAAAAAAACTGTATGAATTTTTATAACTGTTAATTGTTGTCGCTGTTGTCCATTGTTGTCATCATTCTTTGTTGAAATCAGGTCTCTCTTGGAAATGAGTCCTCGAGGCTCAATGGGATTTACCTGTCTAAATAAAGGTTGAATGAATACTGTGTCAAAATATTTGGTTTATATAATTGATTTTTTGCATAATATTTACATACGCAAAAAACATGTATTTTTTATATTTCTATTATTATTATTTGAATACTATTTCTAGTTATTTATAGTTCAATTTTGTGTGGGAAGTTGTAGTTATTATAATTGACCACAAGATGGCAGTGTTTGTCAAATTAGCCCACATTTAGCAAGTATGCACGTGCTAAATGTCTTTAATGTGACCTCACGGGAGCGCGCTTTGCCAGTTGTGAAACGTGTCACGTTCAAGTAACGCTCGGATTTTTTTATGTTGGAAATTATTTGTTTTTAAGTCACAGTTTTAGCATGGCTTCGTATTAAACAATATATATATTCACAAATACAAACAAACAAAAACGACTCATAAAGAAATATGTTAATGAAAGTATACAAGTTTTAATAAGCTTTAAATCACCATTACGAGTCTCCATGTTGTATCTGAAGGCAGCACGCGCTGCTGTAATCATGGCGGCTCCCGTCGCTCTCATACAAGGAGCCAGCAGAGGGCTGGGGCTGGAGTTCTGCAAACAAATATTAAACAATAACAGGCCGGCTGTTGTCTTCGCGACGTGTCGAAACCCGGACGCTGCGGCCGAGCTGCGGGGCATTGCCGGCCAGCACCCGGGCAGACTGACGGTTTTCAAACTGGACGTGAACCTGGAGGAGGACGTCCGCGCAGCCGCAGAGCGAGTTAAGGAGAACTTGGGTCGTCTGGATCTCCTCATCAACTCCTCGGCGATGCTTCACCCCTCCGGGAGAGGAGAGACGAGCCTGAGGGATGTTACTGCTCAGGTAGAACTTGGTTTTGTTGTGAAATCGGACTGTCTGGAAACTAGCATTTGTTCATCATCATGGCCTTTTATTTAAATCAATCAACCTTTATTTAGACAGGTAAATCCCATTGAGCCTCGAGGACTCATTTACAAGAGAGACCTGATTTCAACAAAGAAAGATGACAACAATGGACAACAGCAACAACAATAAACAATTATAAAAAGTCATAATACAGGTTTTTTGGGGTTTTTTTTACAAATAGGATGGCTAAAAGGAAAAGGTAACAAAAAAACAGCTATACTAAGGCGAATGTAGAAAACTAAAAACAGGAACATGTCTGCATTGGTCCCTGCCAGGAGTCTAACAGATTCTTAAAGCCACTTAGAGAGGTCAAGGTCGAGAGCTTCAAATCTTTTTGTAAGATATTCCAGGAAACAGGAGCGGAGTTGGAGAAGGCCCTTTTGCCTAGTTCAGTCCTCACTGAGGGAACACTGCAGGTAATAATGTCCTGAGAGCGCACGCTGTAGCTGCACTCACGCAGAGACATGTAGGAGGAGATGTATGAAGGCAGCAGACCAAGAAGTGATTTAAAGATGAAAATGTACCAGTGAGAGAGTCTGCATGAAGTTAATGATGTCCAGTTAACCAGTGAATACAGGGTGCAGTGATGGTTATGAGTTACAGCCAGTTATGAATCTTAGTGCACCATGATAGACAGCATCCAACATCTGCAGGGTTCTTGTAGGAGCATTCATGTAAATAATGTCACCATAATCAATTGAGGGAAGGAAAGTCACAGATACAAGGCGTTTTCTAGCATTCAGGGTTAAACAGGATCTGTTTCTGAAAAAGAAACCCAGTTTCTTTAAAACTTTCCATTAACTATTTGGAGTCAACCTGGTTTGTCTGTTAGCAAAATATCTCACAAACAACTAGATATATTTTAACAACAAAGTCCATGCTCAATAATCCAGGTATAAAATCCAACATTTTTCAGTCAGGTCATCTGGACAGTTTCTTTTTTTTTGTGTGTGTGCTGAAACGTTTTGCCTTCAATCCAGAAGGCTTCATCAGTCAAGGAAACACAACAAAACTGATTTTTCCTCCAACAGCTTACTCCAAAGTGGAACAAACCAGATCTGCTTGTGATAAGATGGTCTCTTTGGTAAGCCCCTCCTCCATTGCCGGCCCTCTTCCTTGTTGACAGTCTTGTCAAACTGGTTGAAAACAACAAAGTCCATGCTCAATAATCCAGGTATACAATCCAACATTTTTCAGTCAGGTCGTCTGGACAGTTTCTTTGTTTGTGCTGAAACGTTTCGCCTTCGATCCGGAAGGCTTCATCAGTCAAGGAAACACACCGGAGTGTGCCACATGTGGTGGAACGACAACAAAGAAACTCTGACTCTGCTTCGCGTGGCGCTGGAAGTCAAAATATAAAACTAAAGTTTGGTGTGGTAGTAGCTGAGTCATCCTCAACACATTGAGTGCTAATAAATTTAGCAAGAATTTGCGATATTGCATGAGCGAATTTACGAGAACCAAAATGACCTACTCTGTTAATACATCTCGTAAGATGATTTCAGCATAAAACACTGGAAGGTGGCAGGTTTCTTTGTGGAATCTAAGGCCTTTAGGTGAATATTAATGCAACCTACTGTATGAAGCCCCTTTATACCAAATATTGTTGTGACATCACTTTCCTGTTCAGGACATCATTTCCACCTTGACAACCAATGCTGTGGGTCCTCTGGTGATGGCCAAATATTTTGCCCCCCTCCTTCAGAAAGGAAGCGGTGGTTTTGGACAGCAGCCTGCAGAAAAATCCAAGCATCACAGTGGCATCATTGTCAACATCACAGCTAAAGTGGGCTCCATCGGAGACAATGGTATGGTAGACGGTTTACAAACATTTTTCTTGCACATACAGGCTCCATTACTGGTGCATTAATGTTGCATTAGAGGACGAACAAGTTTATAAAACAGGTTTCTCGTGGTTTTTCTTGTCCCAATCCTTTCTCAGGACTTGGTGGGTGGTACAGCTACAGGATGTCCAAGGCAGCTCTCAACATGGCAACCAGGAATATATCTATAGAGCTGGGCCGCAATCGACCCAAGGCAAGTGGGATTAGCCGTGACGTGGCTTTACTGTCAAAATAAAATGTTTAAAGCTGATTGTTAAATGACTTCAAACCTAGTCCCGTTATCTTTTCTGATGTTTTCAGGTGGTGTGTGTGTCCTTACATCCAGGAACAGTCGACACGGACCTCTCCCGGCCTTATCACAAGAATGTACCAAAGCATAAGTTGTTCAGTACTGAACGCTCTGTGATGTATCTGATGAGCATCATAAATACTCTTAGTATTGAAAAGACTGGGAGAGTGTACAGCTGGGATGGGACTGAACTGCCCTGGTGACATCAGAATAAAAAAACGAAGTGTGGATTTACAGGCTGCTGTTCTTTGTGCAAGCTCTTGGAGTGAACTGTGCTGAAAGACAGAGTTTATAATGAGCACAACAGGAACAAGTGAACAGGATGCACTTAACACAGATAAAGCTCTTGCTGCCCTAAAATTAGCCAAAGTGTTGAAGTTATTTTTGTTCAAATACTAATTTGTCCTAAAGATTTCATAACGTTCTGACGTCACTTAAGGTGTTGGAGCAGAGTTCATCTCTTTGGCAGGCCGATAAAGCTTTTGTCTGTCTGCATCTTTCGGTCTGCTGTGTTAGCAAAATATCTCATGAATGAAGGTTGGATTTTAATGAAACATGTACAGAGCAGCACGGTGGCGCAACTGGTAGAGCTGCTGCCTCTCAGCGAGCAGGTCCTTGGTTCAAACCCCGGTCCAGGGGCCTTTCTGGGTGGAGTTTGCATGTTCTCTCTGTGCATGCGTGGGTTTTCTCCGGGTACTCCGGTTTCCTCCCACAGACCAAAAACATGCATGTTAGGCTGATTGGTAACTCTAAATTGTCCCTAGGTGTGAGTGAGAGAGTGAATGGTTGTTTGTCTCGTTTGTCTCTATGTGGCCCTGTGATGGACTTGCGACCCATCCAGGGTGTACCCCGCCCCTCGCACAGTGATTGCTGGACATGGGCACCAGTGACCCCCGTGACCTAAAATGGAATAAGCGGGTAAAGATAATGGATGGATGGATGGATGGATGGATGTACATGTACAACAGATTAACCTTTGGGGTCGCCCCAATTCAAGATGGCAGCCACAGATAATCAGTTTATTCTAAGCCAACACAAAAATGGCTATAATCTAGTCAAATTTACATATCTAGAGCTGAAATTACATCAGTGGTGCAGTCTACATTTTTGTAGTGGGTATACTGATTGTTATGTGTAGTGGGTATAATGATTGTTATGTGTAGTGGGTATACTGATTGTTATGTGTAGTGGGTATACTGATTGTTATGTGTAGTGGGTATACTGATTGTTATGAAAGCGTTTAACTGCCGTTTAATGTATCAATGACACGTGCCCAATGATATGTCGTGTATCATTGAGCACTTTTAAGTGGTTATACTGAAATTCTCAAGTTTTTCTAGTGGGTATACTCCGTATGCCCGAGCATCACGTAGACTACACCACTGAATTACATGTGGTGGTAGCTGAGAGTCATTAGCAACACATACTCTGGACACATTTCTCAAGATGATGCAATAAGGCATGAAACTGAGTTGTCGTTTTTGAGGCTCGACCAAAATGGCTACAACTCTACGTAAAAGGATTAGAGCTATGATCCTTTTTTAAATATATATATTGATCTGACTTTAATCTTTAAATTCTGAGAAAAAGAAATAGTAGTGGCACAAATTCTCTTCCATCCGACTCTACCTTCTCTTCATCAAGTGATCTTACTGTAACACTATTGCCTGACAGGCGACAGACAATATGCATTTCTTCAAGGAAGGCTGGACCTCTTATTTAGTTCTGAAATTATGTACCGTGTTTTCTGGACTATACGGTGCACTTAAAATCCTTTGATTTTCTCAAAAGTCGACCGTGAGTCTTATAATCAGGTGCGCCTTATGTATTAATTCTGGTTGTGCTTACTGACCTTGAACCAATTTTTTGTGGTTATTATAAATGAGTTGAATAATAATTGACATCTGTTTCGCAGAATGTGCCTTATAATCCAAAACATACGGTAATATGAACTAATCGTTGACTGTTTTTGTAGTTTTAGTCAGCAAAAGTTTTAGCTTTTTTTCCCAAAACATTGTTTTTTTTTATTAATTTGTTGCTGAACTTATTCGCAGGCTGATCAAAGCAAGGTCATCTTTGGCATTGAGCTAAGAAATTAGTTTCATAGCATTTCTATTAGAATAATGACTTAAATTAATCGTTTGTGGAAATTATAAGAGTGTTCTGATCAGAAAAACAAGCCAAATAATTCAAAATATCAGTATACTGTAAAGTCATTCTCAAAACATTTTAGGCCCTAATCATTAACATTTTTGAGAGGGGAGAATTTAAACTTAAAAAAAAAAAACGTGAGTGGCAAGACAGAATGCACGTACAGCTAATATAAGCGGTTTCCACTCAGTATGTCATTCAAAATCTGTGTCTGCATACTTGGCACAAAGTCGAGCTCGATCCCAGTGCAGGCTGGACAGAGCTGTCCCTCGTCTCTGATCCTGTTTGTGTTGTTCATGGACAGGATCTCAAGATGGGGTCGTGGAGATGAGGGGTGTCTGGTTTGGGAGCCTCAGGGTCTCGTCTCTGCTTTATGCAGATCATGTGGTTCTGTTGGCATCTTCTGGCCAAGACCTTCAGCGTGCACTGGGGTGGTTCACAACTGTGTGTGAATCAGCTGGAATGAGAGTTGGCTCCTCAAAATCTGAGGTCATGATTCTCGACCAGAAACAGGTGAGATGCCCCCCTCCAGGTTGGAGGAGAGAGTTTCACTAAAGTGGAGAAGTTCAAGTATCTGGGCGTCTTGTTCGGTCTTCGGTTGTCTTGACGGATCGATGGATTGGGTCCTCATCCTTTGTAATGAGGATGTCATGAAGAGAGAGAGCTGAGATGAAAGACAGCTCTTGATTCTATGTTCCAACCCTCACCCATGGTCATGATTGATCATGATCATGACCGAAAGAATGATCCTGGATATGCTGGTGAAGATTCTCAGTCATCCAGGACATGATGAATTCAAAAAGCGTTCAATACAAAAACAACTGGAATTTATTTGTAACAGAAGACGTTTCGCTCCTCATCCGAGGAGCTTTCTCAATTCAAAGAGCAGAGAGTGAGAGATACAGGTTATAAGGCTGAGTGAGATAAGACACACACACACATAAGACACACACACACACACACATATATGTAGATTGGCAGTTCACACCTAAAAACCTAAACAGTAGGTCTTTGTTCCTCTGATTCACAGTTGAGGCCCCTCTGTTCCCATCAGGTGTGAAAACCGGCTGGGGATCAGTTTTAAAGTTGCATTATATGTTTTTGAAAGTGGAAATCTGAGGCCTCCTCCTCTGTTAAGAGAGGGTTTTTCTCTTTTTACATGATCCTGGATACAAGTGGCTGAAATGGGTTTTGCAGGGTGGCCGGTCTCAGCCTTAGTGATAGGGTGAGGTTGCTCCTCAGCATCGAAAGAAGTCAGTTGAGGTAGTTCGGGCATCTGATTAGCAGGACACCTCCCTTCCTCTAAAGGGAGGCGTCCTGAGGCGCTAATGTTGTTAACTTTTAGCTGATTAGGACAACATATTTGGTTTTCAGCAGAAAATATTATTCAAGGTTCTTTATTTGTGAACACCACATGTTGTACATGTGTTGGAACAAAATTGTGTACACAGGGTCCCAGTTACATCCAACAAAAGTATAAAATGTAAAAGAAAAACAGTAATAAGATCTAAGATATGAACTATGGAAAACATTAACTAAAAACACACTAAGCACTAGTAGCATAAAAACAATGTGCTGAACAGCAGAACGAACATGAGACTGTGTGAGCAGATGAGCACGAATGAACACAGCAGCATGAAACAGATCAGCAGCAACATGAAACAGATCAGCAGCAACATGTGATTTTTTTCCTGGTTACAGCTTCATGAGTCTAACAGCCTCAGGGTAGAAGCTGTTCCTCAGTCTAGTGGTTCTACACTTAATGCTCCTTAATTTCCTTCCTGAGGGGAGCGGGGTAAAAAGTGTGTGTGCTGGGTGAGTGTGGTCCTTCATGATGCAGGTGGCCCTCTTCCTGCATCTGGAGGTGTAGGTGTATCGTTTTGAAGATTGAAATTCTTCTAAAACTAAACTACTACATAAAAAAGTAATATTGGGCTACTATAATTACTAAAGGCAGTGATCTTGTGATGTAGCTTGGATTGTGTTAAATAGCCATTAAATGGAAGAGGTGTTGTATCCTCAGTATGTCACTAATTGGACATATATGTAGGCGTGTTTATTTTTATGTTAGCTGTTAGTCATTTACTGTCAGTTTAACAGTCCCTAAATCACTTCACATTACTTGGGAAAGTTATTAGCCTGCTGTAATTACTCAATATTGCATTAGGATGCATTTCAACAATGGGTTCATAGCCCATTAAATAATGTATTGTGAGGCACAGAAGTATGAATGCTATGATACAATTGATGTATCAGAGGTTTTACGTCTGGTATTTTAATGCAAATTCAGGGCACTTCTGAAATATTTTGGGGCACCCTCTGCCCAAGCCAGGTTGAGACATGACAGTTGTGCCATTTAATTTATGTGGCTTGAAGTGCAACAGTGACAATTGTCTTATTCAGAAAAGGTTCAGACCTTCCTTGACAGATGTGCAGAGAAATGTGTGTCTTGATCAAAGTGCAATTGTTGTACATGGATTTTCTCAAGTGTTATTCTATTGGTGAAATTTAGAAATGCCTTATTTTATTTGTGTTTATTTTCTACAGTATTTATTTATTTTTTGTGTATTTGTATTGCATACTTTTAAATTTATGGTATACAGCACAGTATTTATGTGTCTTACTCTGTGCCTTTATACTGTAGTATTATTCTACTTTCTTGAATGTCAAGTTTTTGAATTCAATATTAAAAGACATTTTGAGTGTGTCTATGGTGGTACATGGTAATCTAAATTATATGTCACGGCAGAACATGTCCTTGGGTGTGGTGAGGGGGAGTTTGGGGTCACCCAGGCCATCAGACGAGCTGAGATTGCCCCAAAGGGCAACTTTTTTACTTCTGTTTTTTTTTTTTTTTTTTGCTTTTGTCTGACAGATCTGTACTTTTCCCAAAACACTTCATGAAGCACTAAATGAATTTTTAAGAACTTTTGAGAAACTACATTTACAGCATTTAGAATCAATCCGGTTCAAGATAGCTGCCATAGCTAAGTAATCTAACAAACATAAAATAAAGCTATAACTCAGATAATTTTGCAGATATTGAACTAAAACCTTGTTTGGGAGAAGCTGAAAGTCATTCCCATATGTTCTGAGAGCTAACTGATCATGCGAAATCTGTTTTTAAAACTTTGCTTCTATTGGAGGCAGCTTCATCTGATAGAAAAATATCTCATGAACCAATTAACAAATTTACATGAAATTTTCAGTGAGTGATCAATGGGTCGACATCTACAGCTGAATAACTTTAAGACCTAAATCGATTAAAGATGACCACAGCCATTAGAAAACACAAGCACTGTTTTAAATCTGTCGAATTTACAGATGTTTTATTTAAATTTGGTGGGTTGGTATCTGAGAAGAATACTCAACACATTCTACAAGCACCACACATTATGTAACATTGTTGAATGAATGCATTAAGTTCTCGAAATCGTACAAAGTACATTTAAAACAGATTAACTTGCAGAGTCACTTCTACTGAAGACATGCTTGCAGATAATTGACACCAACCAAACAAAAATTACCACAATTAAGTAAAAAATAGATATTGAGCTATAATGTGAGGTGGTAGTTGTTGAAAATCAACAACAATCTGAGTGTGACATGATATTACATGTACTGTATGTGCATGGCCTATGGTTTTCTACCAGTGGCGATTTTAGCCTCTATTTGGGGGTGCTCAAGCACCCCTAAATTTTAACTCTGCACCCTGAAAAATAGTTATACTGTCTGTATATATATATATATATATATATATATATATACACATACATACATATTTATGATTCAATGCAACAAAATATACAAATTTAAAAGGTAATAGATCATTGTAATACATGGTTTGTAGTGACTTTGATGGAAGTCTGGCCCCTGAGCTGCTGCTTTCAGTAACTGTGGCCCCCTGAGCAGTTTAGTTGAGTAGCCCTGCTTTAGAGGGTGAAATACGGTTTATTTTATCTCCAAAACCTAAACACCTCCACCTCACAGATAAGGGACACTCTTTTGAGGACCGAGAACACAGATGGTTTGAGAGGGGGGTGAAGGAAGCAATTTGTGTAAAAGGAGAAAAAACATCTCTTAACAGAGGAGGAGGCCTCAGATTTCAACTTTCAAAAACATATAATGCAACTTTAAGACTGATTCCCAGTCAGTTTTCACACCTGATGGGAACAGAGGGGCCTCATCTGTGAATTAGAGTAACAAAGACTTAAAGAAACTCCTACTGTTAAGGTGTTTATGTGTGAATTGTCAAACTACATGTATGTCTTATCTCACTCAGCCTTATAACCTGAACCCCTCACTCACTGCTCTTTGAATTGAGAAAGCTCCTCGGATGAGGAGCGAAACGTCTTCTGTTACAAATACAGTCTAGTTGTTTTTGTATTGAACGTTTTTTTGAATCTTAGCTAGTGCACCTGTATTGCGTGCCGCTAACTTAGCTCTACTTCTTGTTGTGCCGCGCTCTCTACAATAGTTATCGAATCAAGCGATCACTTATGTAGGTAAACGTAGATGTTTAACAACCCGTTAAAATACACCAGAATGCAGGAAATGGCATCTACTTTATCAAAATTGTCTGGGGGAGAACCCACAGACCCTCCCACCCCCCACATTACAAATGCCTCTGACGCCAATGGCCACCACTTTGTTCAAACTAAGAGCCATTGTCAGCGCTGGGGGCTAAGCACCCCTGAAGGTCAGATTCTAGAATCGCCCTATAAGGACTTTGTGTTCTTACTCCACAATAAAGAAGTGACTTAGTACTTTATGGGTTATTTTTTAAATTTTGAATCTGTTGATGCTTTACAAAGTTCGTTGTTAACATAATTTATAATCAGAACTTATTTTTAATAGCAAAACAGGATACAGTTTTCTTAGGTGATTGTTTTCCTTTATCAAACTGGGGCTGTCTGACCTTTGCATCCTGACTGAAGAGTGCACGTTATCTTAAGCTCTACTAACCAAAGACACGTTATCACCGGGTATTCCTACAAAGTATTTCATGTGAGTGCCTTTTTAATGCAATTAGAGAGTTACTTGAGTCACTTTGGTGAACGATCTATTAGCTGCAGAGATTTGGAGCGCACATCACGCTTGGGTGGGGTTATAAATCAAGCAGCCCCCGCTGTGCGGACTGGTGCTACATGTATTATTATTATCCGACAGAAGGTAACAAAAGGCGACACGGATACACAAAGAATAAGCGCGGTGCAGTTTTACTGCAGGGAGCGCTGGGAAAACCGGTCAGGGGAGGCGAACGAGTTCAGGCTTCACTGGAGGGGCTGGGGTGTGACGTAGCAGTCCAATAACTCACGCATACACATGCATGCGTGTGTTATTGTACACACACACACACACATACACCGCTGCTGCGCTTGCTAGGATCTCAATGAGGAGAAATGACCGCGAGTGACCTCAAAGGACACGCTGCGTTTTAACGGGTGCGCGCGACTCCAGTCAAACTACATTAGTTGTTTAAAAAAAAATGTACGCCACCATTTTGTTTGGTTTTTCAAGGTAGAACACGGTGCTCGCTGGTCGCACGCGGGTGTCTCATTAGGTCGCGAGCGCGAGGCTAACATTAGCTAGCTAAGCTAAGCTAGTCCGGGTAATCGAGTTTCTCCGCTCTGTTTTCTCGCAGATGCTAAAGCTAGGCTAGGCTACTCGAAGCCAACATGGAGAAAGCCAAGTCACTGGTGGACAAGAAGGGGGCGTCGGGACCTTTTCACGTGAGCAACGGCCAGAGGGGGTTTCACAGCAGCCAAGCCGTCGTAGCCGCTAACGGCAGCTGCTGCAGCAGCAATTCATTCGGCTTGAGCACCGCGGGATCCGGCAGCGGCAGCAGTACGTTTGACAGCAGCATGCATCACCTGCAGCGCGCCGATGACAAGGAGTGCAACGGGTCCCCGGCCAAGAGGTGCCGAATGCGGAGGAGCAGGACGGAGTCGGTGAAACGCAACAGACCTCGTAAGGAAAATTTGAATATATATTTATATTTGCTGCAGTTATTGCTCTGACACGAGAGGGCATTGTACTGTTGTCATACAAGCCGGTTGTTGCAGGGTTTGCACAATCGTCGTGCCATTTTGATGATGCAAGGAGAGCAATTGCAACCGCTGACACACGAGAGCTTATCTCGTTGAAGTTTAATTAAATGTGATTAATTTTGTCATATTTCATAAATAACCGATGCTTGAGAACGATATTTTTTTCATTTTTAGTAAGTCGTGTCGTGAGCGGTTTAGTTCAGCAGCCTTCCGTCGTCAGGGAGACCTTTTTGTGTTTATGGACCTCTGGTGTCATTTGGAGGGCTGTGATTGGTCGGTTCCCAGTGGTGAAAAAGCTCCTGATAAGTAGGCCTGGCTTGCTGCGACCAATCAGAACTCGACTCTTGTCAAGAGGCAGGCCGAAGGTTCCGGAGCTCCGCCCCTTACCTTGTGTTCCTGATGAGAGTCAACCATCCTGCTGAAGTTTACCGGGGACATGTCTGACGCTAAATGGTTGAGTTTCCTCACTTCGTGAGGCTTTTTAAAAAACGCGCATAGCTGAATAAAGACGCATTAGCAACAACCTTCTTTCATGTGGTATTTAGTAGGCAAACTTGAGAGCATATAGCCATGAAGCTTATAAGTGAGAAGAAACCTGGTAAGTGTGAGCTGGTTTTGTTGCTTTATTACACTGATAAGGGCCAGATAACAGTTGTAAGTGAGGTTAAATTGGTGTAAACCTGTAAAACCACTCTTAGATCTTTTAAATTTACTTGCTTTTGCAAATTGTTTCAGTTAGACTATTTAATGAGAGTTTTGCATATGTTCATCAAGATTAAAAGGCTAATAATGTACAGTTTTACGCTGCAACACGTCACACTTTACATTAACAGCATGCATTAATTGAAGTTGGTTGCTTTTAGTTAGCTGTATGCATCTTGCTGCTTCAGAGCTCCTGGGTTTGTTTTGGCTGGTAAAACTCAATTTTACTCCCTAGAGATGTTTTCAGAGAAACTAGCTGCAGTGTGAAGTCCTTTATCTTAGTCAGCCCCACCGTATTACTTATATTTGCTTGTGATTGTGTTAGGAAGAGATCAAGAGAGAAAGAGATATAGTTTGGTGTTTCTTCTGTTTTAGGATTTTATTCTACTTTTGAATTAGTTCAAGTACTTTCTACTGTGGTAATTTGAGAAATCACTTATTTATAGTAAAATGTAGTTTACTTTCCCCATCAGTTTATTAGCACTAATGACCTTTTGGTAAATAACTGATTGACACAAGTGAAAGGAATCGACCAGTGCATTTACGTACTCTTTGGTGCTTGCACAAACATTTTTTATCCTAAATTTATTTTTTAATCGTACATTTACATTTGTTTGCGTGTTCATGTGATTGGTGAATTTATAAAGTGGTTGTGGTTGGACTTCAACAAATCTGTTGTAAACAAACAAACAAAAAAGTACAGTCAATATAAGAAATAGGCGAAAACATTTTTGTGGGTGTTTTAAAGAGGTGTTTATAGGTTAGTTAACGGTTGATATGCAGTATGTATTCTGAGTGTTTTCTGTGACTGAGCTAATATATCCTAATTGTAAGTTGAAAATACGTGCATCAAGAGTTTGGTTTTTCTTTTTTTTTTTTTTTTTTACTGTACAAAGTTATGAAATGGCTCACACCATCCTCAAACTTATCTCACCTTTCGATCTCTGTTACATAATGGCATCCTGTAAAGATTTGCGATTGTACCTTGCTTGGCTGTGATGTTTTTTTTTTCTACACAAAAACAAATATACAGCATATAATCACCATTAGGCGGCATAGTGGTGCAGTTGATGGAGCTGCTTCCTCTCAGTGAGAAGGTTGTTGGATTGAATCCCAGCCGGGGGCCTTTCTGGGTGGAGTTTGCATGTTCTCTCCGTCCATGCGTGGGTTTTCTCTGGGTAAAAACATGCATGTTAGGCTGATTGGTAACTACCAGTAAATTGTCCTTAGGTGTGAGTGAGAGAGTGAATGGTTGTTTGTCTCATTTGTCTCTACTGGCTTATTTGCACTGCTCCTCATCTGCCCCAACTCTGCACAGATGATTTTGTAGGATCTGGTGCATCAGATTTAATTCAATTCAGTTTATTTATCAAGCGCCAAGTCACAACAGAAGTCGTCTCAGGGCACTGAACAGAAATTTTCGTCTAAAATAAGTTACCAGAAACATTAATATATAAAAATAATAATTTAACATTATTTATCTGAGGAGCAGACTGCTTTGAGTTTAACTCATCGCAGAACTCTCAGCAGGATTTTGGATTCTGGAAACGCCTCCAGAGTCGGTCCTAAAGTGTGGTGCAAATCCATGCTGAGCTGAGCCAGGCTGACCAGGGTCGTGCAGGGCTTAGCAGAGTTGGGACTGAGTAGGAGCAGTGCAAATACGTGTCCCTGTGACGGACCAGAGACCTGTCCATGGTGTCCCCTTCCTCTCGCACAGGGATAACTGAAAATGGGCACAAGTGACCCCTGTGACCTGAAAAGGAAGAAGCAGGAAAAAGATAATTGAATATTCACCTTTCAAACTACTTAAACAACTTTGTGCAGCTCCAGCTACAGTAGATGTTACCCTAGATTTATTTTACTATTTTTAAAGACACACAGACTCATAAGGTGAAAGCAAAGTTAGGATGGTTGTCGCTTGTCAAAAGTACCGCTACTATTCAGTATACCTGTGATACCGGTAATTGACAGAGATTTTTGTTGTTATGATTAGGCAGGCAAATAAAACTTCAGGGATGCTGCTGAGATTAAAATGACCTACCACAGAGTTTTTCCAGATTGAGAGACATATGATCTGTAAAGTCTGAAATGTCCGGTCAGAGCTCCTCTGCTTTGTGGGTAACTTGTCCTGGGATGAACTCCAGCCATTCTGATGAACCCAAATAAAACTCTTAAGCTTTTCCTGACTGGGGGCCGAGTCTGGAATGCATTCCCCTCTGGGAAAGGATTTTTCTCTTTTGTCCTGAGAGATCTTTCCTTTTTGTGCTTTGACATGGTTCAGCTTTTGGTATTCTTTTGGGCAACATTGCTTGCTGCATTGCTTGTTTGCACCAGAAGCAACGTGGTGAGCTGTTTATATTGCTTGTCTTGGCTGTTTTCTGGAATGACACAAAACACACATAATGTGATGTGCCATCCTTTATTGCGCCACTTTTGAGCCATATGAGTTAAAAATAAACAAAGAATGTGACGTAAAAGTACTATGAAGTTGCTTTGTAAAATCTGTGGAACAGAAACACAACAAAGGTTATTATTTCTTATGTGTTTGGGTTTTAAGTGCAGAATTTATTTTTCAAGTCTGAAGCATTCAAGTGTTTTTACCCAATGCAAAGATGTTTCAGCATACATCTTAGCCAAGAAACTTTTGTTGACCATTATTCTGGGGAAAGTTTATAATGCAATACTTGAGTTCATCTTTGTACAGCTGCAATCATAAAGTGAAATTATTCATGACAGAATACCAGTAATCCCTGAAATGAAATTTATCTAGAGGGCAGACAGTCAAAGCCCAGAATGAGAGAAAGGAAGAAAATAATTTCATTTTATACATGTTTTGTTTTGCATGGTGGATATTACATTTCATGATAATCGTAGAATTCAACACAGACAACAGTGTTTTGGTGTAAAAGAAAGCTGATGTTAAAACATGGCAGGTTTAGTTTAGCAAACATACATTCAGACTAGGGGTGCGAATCTATCAGTGTCTGGCAATCCTATTCGATTCCGATTTTTGGTGTCACAGTACGATTCAAAATTGATTTTTCGATTCGGAAACAATTTTCGATTCAAAAACGATTTTTCTATTGAAATGGTTTATAAATTTTGTTTCACTTATAATGTATATGTAACTGACAAGCTGAAAAGATTAAACAACAATGTAAACAAATAGAACATTTATTTAAAACAATCATTTTAGGTTCCTTACTGTATCAAATATTTTTATTCATTTTACATTTATACCAAAAATAGGAAAAAAAATAGGAGTGCATAAAATTCTGTAACTTAAATTACCAGTATTAGGTTAGCTTCGTTGCTTGAATTAAATAATAATAATAATAAAAAAATAAAAATCTAGGAACAAATAATTCATCCATCCATCATCTTTACTCACGTCTTCCTTTACGAGTCTCGGGGGTCACTGGTGCCCATATCAGCCATCACTGTGTGAGAGGCGGGGGCCTGGACAGGTCTCCAGTCCATCACAGACAAATAATTCAAAATATATACATTTAAAAGTAAACAGACTTCAGCCTACCAGTATATTAACCCTTAACTCAACATAAAATGCAGACTTCACAATTATTTTTAACCATATTGCTCTAACATTTGTTATATTTTCTAAACTTAACCTAATATGAAATTTACAGACTTCACAGTCATATTGATTCATATTTGGTAAATCTTTAACAAAATTTCAAAACCTGTGGAAACCTGCACAAAAACTTCTGAACTGTAATTTATAACTTCCATCATTTAGAACTGGCTCCAGGAGATGTGTTTCATCTGTCCTCTCCAACCTGTTACAAAGACAAATTACATTAAGTTTGTTTTACAACTTGTCTATAAGTTTTAGTATAATATGAGAAATAATAGTTACCTTTGAGCTGCAGCTGCATCAGAGCTTCTCCATCCGTTGTTTCATGGTGAAGTTGTGGGGCTGCTTTATCGCAAAAAAAAAAAGAAGGAATAACGTACATTAGGTCCATCGTATTAAAAATAAACCTAGACCCCTCACCTTCCACTGAGAAGTCTGCTCATAAATCCTTTGTGATAGAGCAGGAGATGGAGAGGGAACTCTTCACAGCCTTTCGGAATCAGCTGGAAGTTTGTTGCAGAGTTCGCTGGTCGGCTGCTTCGCTTTCATCTTCCGTGAATTTTGTCGTATTTCCAAAATACTGTACCGCAATTTTATTTTACCCTTCTTGTAAATAACTGTGC